GTAAGTTATCCCACCTGTGAGTCACTTGGCAGATGTCGTACGTTCTATCACGTCTCATCGACTCTGTAAAAAGTTCCACGCTGCCGCATTTTCGTTTTTGGCGGCCTGTCGGCGGGCAGGCGGAGCTTCACTACACAGGTGATCGGTTTTGAAGGTGATCGCTGACTAGAATTCTTTAATTCCCATCTACCCCATCATCCCCTCTATAAGAGTCAGTCAGTTTGGTTCCACACTTTTATAGTTTGTGTTTGAGATTTTTGAATCTTTGAGGTGAAACGTCTGAATCCAGAGGTTCACGTGACTGTTGAACATGAACTGCCTGAGACCTGGATCTGTCCCAGGATCGTTTACGAGCTCCACGAAACGACTGAGTCACAAACAGTCCACCAACGAGTCACAGTTTTCTTTACAGACGGGTTTGTCCTGAATCGATAACTGAAACATTTTTAAATCATATCTTAAATTGTTATCTTTCTAAAATCTATACATGATATTATTAAAACCTTTAAATCTCACCTTAGCCTGCTCGCTGAATCACGACCTGCAGTCTGACGGGTTTTACCTTGATTCCTGGGGACTCGCTGCGATCCCTCCAGGTGGCCCGACCATCGAAGTGAACATCCGCCATCATCCTCACTTGTTTAGACATGTACTGAATATTACTACTAAGACACAGAATTCACCAACTGTTCAGTGTTTTATATAAGAAGAATACAAAAAGATTCATATGGATGCTTCCTTCCTCCCGTCAGGGTGACCTGCTGTTTTTGTAATTCAAACACTGACGGTCGATTTAACCGCACTGCCCTGGCATGTGTTGTGACGCAGCAGTATAAATCTGGTGCGTTTCTTCGACTTGTCAGGGTTTGAGGGTCTGAATCAGGACTGAGGCTCCAGGACCAAGCAGAACCACAAGAAACTGATTCTATGAGCTGTCTAATATTGTTTTTCACCAATCTGATGATGAACCGCAGCCTTCTTTGGTTCCAAAAGTCTGAAACAACAAGATTGGACTGGTTTTTACTCGTTTACTGTTGATGGAGACCGAGAGAACAAACTTGAATTCACTTTCCCAGGCAGACGAGCACATGGGGTTGTTGGTTATGCCACTTTATTCACCTGTCCAGTGGTGTGGTGCGGGAAATTCAGACAAGAAGGAGAGGAAGTGAGGCTCTGATGGTTTTTGTAGTGACTGTTTTTTCTAACAACACAGAAAGGCTGATCCAGTGTTCCTGTTGTTTTCAAATATAAACAGTGTCAATATCTGACATGGACTAGACAGATGTGATCCGTACAAACGTGTTTGCAAGTCAAGAGCCCACTCTCTTTCAGCTTTCCTTCAATGCGACAGTAGCTGCTACAACATGAGTTTTAAAGGTTAACACATGGTTCGTGAGATTAATTAACACCTAGCAAAGGGAGAACTAACAACCCTGTGGCAGCAGGTGTGGTTGTTACTGGTCAGAAGGTCAGTGGGAACGAGCTGAAGTTCCCTGAACCCACCATCATGTTGATGAGGACCAGTTTGTGACATGGAGCATGATACTGCTGGGAAGGAAGCCATTAGAAGATGAACAACACTCAGACAGCACTGAGGTACATTCACACGCATGTTGGGTATGGGCCAGACAGAGCCGGTGCTTTCCGCTCCTCCACACTGTCCAATCAAGGCTGATCGTGTGGAGAGCACCTGGAGGAGCAGCGTTCAGACACTCAACCTCCTCTCGGAATATGGTGGGTACAGGCCTGCCAGTTGCAGCAGCCCTTGCGCGGCGGAGCGGTGTTGGAATGTTGAGGTCAGGTTCTGCTGCTGGTACTGTGGATGGACGCGTGGTGGCTCTGCTCGCGTGAGGACGCGGGGAGACCAGCTTCTTTAGTGGAAACATAGCTCTGCAGCCATTAATCTCCAGTCATATAGGACGGCGGGCCGGCTCATGGCTGGCAACGGCGGAGGGTGGAGAGGACTGCGGAAGAGCGTGGTTCATGATCAGTGACAGTGAACATCAGTGGAGCGACTTTCGTTTGAGTAAACCGAGGGTTTCACGGTGTAGCTGTGCTATACGTTAGCGCAGCTAGCCAAACACATCGTCAGGGTCTTTTCACCGGCATGGCTTTTTTACACCGTCAACCTCGATGAAACGCTACGACACCGAACCATTCACGACACCTGAGCTAAACACACACACAACAGAGAAGTTACCGGGGCGATGCCCGTATCTACCCGGGGTGTCTGTTATATTCACTTGTTCAAGACTTTTAGCATGTTTAATGCTTAGTTAGTTAGCCCAACACTAAGTTTAAAGGTGTATGAGTTCTATTCTCACCGCCATCGTTCGGCCTTTTTTGTAAATAACCACTAGTCTCTCACTTATTCTGAGTGTGAGCAGAGATATTGTTCGGATTCATTAATCCTGCTGTTCCACATTCACTAGGAATTTTTTAGTTGGTGTCACAGGCAGAACTGGCCGGATTTAGCTTTGTTTACAGTGAGTAGCGTAGTCTCGTCCGTGTTCTTCTACGGTTTACAAGCGGCAGGCCTCAGCTCATCGGAGACAGGAAAGCAGCCACGCCCCCTGGTAAGGACACAGAGGAAACCACACCCGATGCTTGGCTGGAAGGAGCTGCCATCACTGCTCTGTGTTGAGTGTTTCCTGGTTTGCTGATGGAAAACATCTTTTCGAATAATTAAAGTTTGTTTTTATCTATTTTATTATTATATATCTTTATCTTTCAATAATTATATTTATCAGTTTTAATTTCTTTTATTTTAGCGTTTTTGTGGGTGGTTGTGACGCTATTGTCTCAAATCTCACTTTTGTATTTTTGACCTTCTTTTTTGCACACCTGTGACAGACGACGGTGCAGAGAGAAAAGGTGGTGTAAAAAAAAAAAGTGTGGGAGCTGATTTTTTGTTACTGTTTGATTAATAGTTTTTTTACGTTTAAATCTCTTATTGTTATCGCATATCAATTACGTCCTGTTACATGGTCCCTATTGAAAAAGGATATAGATTAATCTATAGGTGGATTAATATTGCACAGTGAAATCAAAGGTAAAAAGCCCACTGTCACACAAAATGGATGCGTTGTTCATCACAAGTGAAGACAAATGAGTGAGATGAGCTCGCACTTCTAATCTGAATAGAACTGAACCTGTGCATTTGTTTCCACAAGGCAGTTAATCAAATATTTTAGCGGCATATGTTCTATATTACAATCCTATCAATGTCCTGGGAAAACAGTGGAGGGTTTTTTAAAATTTTTGTGGGGGTTTTAAGTACGAATACACATGTTATATTAATATTATCATGATAATATCTCGATAATTACTGAATGAACTAATATTGAAACATGTAATCCTCTGCGGAAAACTTTAGACATGTTACTAACTTAACTTACTTATACTCGTACTTCCCTCCTTGTTCTTCTTATTTCTCTCAGTCAGGTTCTATTTCTAAACGATAATTAAATTGAATGAGTGTGTAGTTTGATTTTAGTTTTTGTCTATTTTGTCATCTGTTATGTTTTAAATAGTCTTCAACAGTATGTCTAGCACGGTCGTCACCTCGTACAGTCCAGGTGGTTTGGAGGTTCCGATCCCGGCTTGTCCCACATGTCAGTGTCCTCTGGGCAAACCGTCCAAATTGTTCCTGTGGTGAGAAACACTGTGAGTGGTGGTGTGTGCTTGCGTGTTCATACGGGAACGTGTTTGGTGATAAAAACCAACAACACAACACAGACCACAGATGATATGACAGACATATTCTTTTATTGTTACTGATAAACTCTCACTACTCCGGCATTTCAAAATGTAAAAAAGCAACTATGAAAAAAGGAAACACTCTGTGTGTACCATGTAATCTGTGGGTACTTTATGTACTGTGTGTTACTTTATGTCAGCCCTGATTTAGCTTTTATAATCTCTCTTTAACATTTCACTGTACACGATCAAAAGACAATAATAATTTACAGGTTTTGTTCCAGGTTTCAGTTTGAAGGTTCAGCTTCTGCTGTTGGCCACTGAAGACGACACAAATATAAATGTGAACAATAGTTTGACTGACGGTTCAGCTGCCTACGTCACTCCTGGCTGTTACTGTTCATGTGGTGAAGGTGACGCCCAACATCTGTATACTGGTTTATAATCAAAGTGTAAAATGGTAAATGACATTAAATGAGACTGTCCTCCTGTGAAGAAAAACAGGCCCACAGGTCGTCTGTGCAGCAGGTTTGACATCATATGTTAGTTGTTGATAGGCGACCTCTAGTCGTCGTTGTAATGATGACAGAAGCAAAGGGAAAAGTGTCGGTGATGTAGTATAAAGAGAGACAAAGTCAAACAAAACACAGGAATATGACAGAGGAGAGCGTGTTATGGCGGTTATTTTTGTAACCATGACAACAAAAGATCGTTTAATGTTGAGGAAGTGCGCTACTTCTTTAACCAAATCACCATAATTTTCCTAAACCTAAAACAAGCCATGACCATTATTATAGTAACCATGGTGACAAAGGTCGTAGCCGTTCTCCTTACAGTCCGCGTGTTTATTATTGTAACAATGGCAACCAAGGTCCGGTACGCATGGCGCGGTCGGTCGGGCGCAGATTCAGGAGGAGACTCTGCTATGGGTCGAATCAGAGGCTTGAAAAATACGATCTATACGGTCGTTTAGGTTGAAGGAGTTGGATTAAATGATTCACTGATCTGTTGCTGCGATCGTTAAACTAAATGTTGATGGAGTCTGGTTTTGAAGTTTAATTTATTCAAATGATGTTTTAAAGCAAACACCACCTATTTTCTGCCCTTCTATAAACGCTAATTAGCAAACACAAGTTGATGTTTAAAGTCAAGAAGATTAAAGTTAGAACCCTGAAATAAAAGAAAAAAGACAAGTGGCCCTAATCCTTCTTCTGTATAAAAACATTTGATCTGTTTGTGT